TTAAGAGAAACACTGCGAAGTATCTATTAACTTAAATTCTGTCTGTATGTTGGCACCAGTGAAAAGCCAGATGATGAGTGCTATATCTCAAGGCACTAGGATAGCTGTCCCAACACTGACAATTGTGAAGCTAGATATACAACTTTTGGTCTATAAAATTGTGATTATGAACAGAGGAACCATGTGAAAGACTGTATTCTGAAATTCTGAAGCAGAACTGGTAGGCTTTATCTGCATTTCAGATCTGATGTCATAAAAAAAAAAAATAAATGAAACAAGTGCACATTTATTTGCAGTCTTCTTGTCCTGGATGTTAATACAGTGGAATTTTGTAATGCTTTGACTTCCAAATATCAAGCTATTGCTTCAATAGTTGTTTGCTGATTTACGGGTCTAACTTTGGGCATAATAATTGAAAAATATGTGGAGATACTAAAACCATGAGAATGTATACAGGAAGGAAAAAGTAACAGGGGTCAGGGCAGCCACTTGATCTCTCCATTTTATTTTTCCAGAAAGGATGCATCATCTTTGGACCTTGGCTAAAAATGTTGCTGGTTGCACAATAGAATATTGCAGCTTCCAGTGCTTATGCTGTTTGTTCCCTTGCTATTTGTGTTTTTGTACTCCTGGTATAAGATGTCCCATAACAAACTAGTAAAATTTAGAAATGAAGAGGATGAGATATTGAATTAATGCCTATTGCTTTACCTTCTTTCCATAGAGGGTTTCTTGCCCTGATAAAATATTGAACATTTTGTGAATGAATGCAACTTCTTAGCTTTTGTACATCATTGTGAACTTGAGGCAGCTGTAGTTGCTGAAGGTTTTGTGCTTGCTGCACTGTTAAGTATGAAAAAATGTGTCAGGTTACCTGGTCCCTCTATGCCTAAGTAATTCACAGTATAATGTTGTTAATCTGCAGTTATCTGAATGCCTTCTATTTTGGCACCAGAACAAATAGCTGTCTTTTCTAGCATCTCAGTAGGTTCATTAGATTAGCTTGTTATTTGGATTGAACATTATTTTAATAAAATACAGTATTATAAATTTACTGATTTGTTTGTTAATGTGCTGCAAGGTACCATGATGAGTCATTACAGCTAATCTTATTTGCTGGAATAAATGGACAAGATATATCTGGTGAAGCTATATTCCTGATGTTTTTATATTCTGTCTAGTTGCTTTCTTAGCAATTTGCTTTGTTTAATAAATCTGCAGGCTTTCCTCCTCTCATTAGTTCAAGTTAAATATGGAAGGAAATTTCCTTTCAGGTACACCACATTTTCCTTCCAAAACATGATTTTTAATCTCCTTTAGGCAAGGGGAAATAATTTTATGAAAGTGGATATGGACTGTTTTTTCCACAAATCCCACACAATGGTTTTTTTGCATTAGTATAGTTGAAACATGCGGCACACTCCAGCTTTAGTCTGGGTGTCAGTGATACCTTTACAAGTTCCAGCATCATGTAGGCCTTATTGTATAATAAAACAATTTGATGAAACCTGTGCAGAGCTTGTGTGGTCTGCCCAGTTCTATGGGAAGAATTGCAGGGAAAAAGAAAACAGCTCCTTCTTGACAAGATCATCTCTCAGAAGCAAATTAAAATGACTATGTGTGTTATCTGGGCCCATTGCTGTGACATGCTGCATAACAGTGTATCCCTGACCAGCTATAATCTGTCTTTTCTGTACAATTTAGTCTTCTTCCTAATTTATTTGCTGTTATCAAAAATCAATACTACATTACCAAAGCACATGAATTGTGCTTTTATGTTATTATGAGTAAAATGCTTCTGTTTAAGGAGCCATAGCAATAATCAGCAGGAAGGGAAATAGGATTACAGTGCATTGCTATTCTGTAATGCAGTGTGTTGGAGCACCAAAAGGTCTCTAAAAGCATACCTGTAACTTGAAGGGAGGAAGAAAGGGTGTTATGTGCCATTTCCTCTGCTCTTTCTATTTCCTCAGTTCTTTTTGTGCATTCCCTTCTGAGGGAAAATGCTGACATTTGGGAATGCTGACAAAAGGGAATCTAGTATAACAATAACAGTTCATTACAGTGTGCGGCCCAGGCAGAGAAGAGTTCAGTATTGTTATTTAATTTGTTTGGATTGTCAACAGCTGTAACATCAATAGGTTGAGATGCTTGCAAAGACTTCCTTTCTCTTAAAACATTCAACATGAATGAAAAAGTTTTGAGTACTTAAAGTCAAAATGTGATAAATGTTTTGTACTCTATTCTGTAATTTTGGATTTAAAAAAAAACTTCTTTAAAATTCAGTTACCATTAGAAATGTCTATATTTGGAATGGTATAATTTGCCAAAGATTCTTTAGACAGCAGTTGCCTTTACAGTTCAGAAAGTAGGAAAGAGGAATGACAGTAGGCTTTTGTTTTGACACATGATCTCTAGTAATAAACAGTGATAGTTGATTTACTTGTTATTACAGGGTAGTTCCTCTCTTTCTGACAGTTGATTTTATTTTTTTAATACATTTTTTCTTTATACATTCTTTTCTTTAATACATTTATTTTCTTCTACTGATTATAGTTAACAGTTTGATACTTGGTGTCAGTTTTAGTTGTGATAAACTTTACACAATTAGCTTGAGTTATGAAAAGGATGATGTAAGTCAGCAGCTTCCTAAATCTTGACATTTCATGAACCAGCATTTCATGGATGTTGCTTTCCATATAGGAATTGGAATTCAAATTCTGGAAAGTGGTGTTTTCCAAGTATTGTATTTTCATCTTACTAAAACTTCTCATACGCTTTCTGTCACCTCGACATCACATTATAATTGAATAAGAAGTTCCAGCATGTGGGCAATTAGTACTAATTTTTACTTTTATTTAATAAAAGAATGTATTGAGTCTCACTATGATATGTATTAATTATGACAAATTATTCTCAGTTAATTTTTTTTCTGTTCTGTAGCTCTTCCTTGGTCATCTTTTACTTGGCTGTGGTGTTTAGTACGATTACAAGAAAATATAGATAAATTTTTACTTCATTTTGTAAGTAAAATCTAAGTTGGAACAGACAAAATTATCCCAGAGGAGTTCTTATAAGAAAATGACCCCTTCAGTGATTTTGTTTCAGAATTTCTTTCATTTCTTGTACTCTTTCCTGCAGACCTGTTGTGATAGTTGACCCTTTAATTACCAGTTTAATTGCTGTCTTTCCACAAAGATAAGGGTTTGTCAAATCTAAGTATGTAACTCTTCTTTAGAGGGAACCATGGTGGAGAAAGACTGAAGCGTTGGCAAACTAGCAGTATAGGTGTCTGTAGTAGGAAGACTGCATATATTCTGACAGAGTGGCAGCTATGAAAGTGCAGAAGTTAGAGGATATGAAAATTCTCTTAGAAAACTCACATTTATGCAAACACAAATTTAGTAGACCCGTAGTCTACAGAGTGCTTAAGGAAGATGAAGTAGAACAGAAATTGCTGCAGAGTGTTTTGGTTCTTCTGAGTGATTACAGCTCTATGTTGTTTTTTGTTGGTTTTTTTTTTTTTTGGCCTTAAGTAGTCTTAATAGCCTGCTTCCCTGAGTTAGCAATAACTTCCTAATTAAATGAAGCTTCAAACACAAAATGCCAGTTTTTCAATGCCAAAACTTCTCACGGGAGAGTACAGCTTGCAGTTGGTCTCTCAGTTGACAAAGACTGGTGAGAAGGTTAGCTGCTGTAACATTATTATTATTTTTTAATTGGAAAGGATCTTCCGCTTACAAATTTCATTTATTTATGTATTTGATAACCAAAAAGGAGGAGGTCATACATACGACACGTGAAGATGATGATGGTGCTATGGGAATGATAATAGTTTTAAAAATTAAACAGGTATGCCTTCCTTTGTGATGATACCATTTCAGTGCTTGCCTCATCAAGCATTTTGTCCAAAGGCATTAAGGTCTATTGAAGCCTTATATCTGTCCTTCCTTATATTCTGCTAACCACCCAATGATCTCTTCTTTCACGTCACTTCACGTGCACAGAGGGGCTTATTGTAAGTTCAGAATGCTCCAGCTCCCATTGGCTTGGCAAATGTTAAGGCTGTCAGCAGCTATAAAAGCTACTTCCTACGCTCTGAACTGCTCTGCACTGACTGCTATAGGCTTGTTGTTTTTATGTGGCTTAAATATGTTAATATTATTAGTCTTTTGTGCATTGACATTCGTGTGAAATGTGCCAATTCTACAGGTATTCAGGCATTTGAGTAGAATAGTTTGTGTCACTCAGAGACAGTTTAAAGTATGGTCAGCTTGCATCTCAAAATATTTCCCAGTCCCTCCTGTGCAGTCTTTCTTAATGGATGATCATGCATTAAGGCCCAACTTGGTCCTCCCGGAGGGCTAAGTAAATATGAATTTTCTTGCAGACCTAAACCTTGCGATTTTTTTTTTTTTTCTGTTCATTTCAACTTAATTTGCCTTTGATCTCTCTTCTCTGGAATTTTCTTGAGTGTATCTTGAACCTCCTTCCCCCCATTGAGAAGACAATCAGCTCTATGACCTAAGAGTTTTGGGATGGATGTGTTCTGTTACACTCTGCCAGTATTCTGCAAAATCTGTGTCCTCTAAAAATCAGCAGGAATGTGACTCAAGATTGCTGTTCTCATTTTTTCTTTAGGTATTAGAACAAAGGCAGACCAGAAAAATAAGAGCAATACTTTTACTGGAGAAGCTGCAGTGTCTACATATTTTAATACTGCCTTCAGAAGACAGTTTCTAGACTCAAAAATCACGGTTTTCCAGTCAAGCCATAGGAGGGCTATGAACTCAAATGCGTTTTTCTTTCCTTGCAGTTTGATCTTTGTTCCATCAATTTTCAGTGCTTTGTGACGATTTTGCTTGTACTCAGTTGTCTATTGAAGAGTGAGTGGTCTTGAGACGTTCCTGAGAGACGCCACTTACGTTTGTCTCTTTGTTAATAACACAACTGCCTAACTGCAGTTGTTTTTAATGGTGGGACGTTTCTTTTGGCACTAGGTGATGCAGATGTACCTCCCATTCTGTGGGATTGCCATTTCCAATGCCCAGCTATTTGCAGCCTCAAGGAAGGAATATGACAGAAGCAGGGTGAGTAACAAAATGTAAGTAAGTTGCTTCAAAAGTAATGCCTCCTATTTATTTCTATGGAAACTATCTTAGATACAAAGAGCACAATAACACTATTTGATAGAGCAAATTGTCAGATACAGAATGCTATTTTTTAACGTAGACAACACCTTCAGCTATGCATTTTTGCCAGTGATGAAAAAGAGCCTGCATGCTATGCTCTTAAAAATCAAATAGTTGACAAGATCATGGCTTGTCTTCCATGTTGCTGTGACCACTGCTGAAACACTCACTCACTCTTCTGTGTATTCACATCTGTTGTTTGGTCTCCATAAACAATTCAGTAAGTGTCAATGAGTGTCAGTGGTGCCATCTTTTTCTGCAAAGAGGAATTCAATGGCATACCTTTGCTTCATATGCACTTCCATTTCAGGCACCATTTTAACAGACTGCCCCTCTACTGCCATCTGTCACGGCAACAACATGTAATGGAATACTGGCAGGAAGGTTGAAATTACTGCCATACCAGCAATGTCCACCTCTGATGTTGTGGACCAACATAATAAAATAGGAGGCAGTGCTTTTTTGAGCAGTCCTCGTGTGTTGGACCAGTATCAAATCTTCATCTTTTGTTCTTTCAGATTCCAGATTTCAGACTTTTTGCTAAGCAGACTGTCTTAACTACATTTTATTTCCAAGGATGCATTTCCAGCAGATAGCAAACTTTACTAAGGCAGCAAGCAGGGAACGTGGGAGGAAAAGCTCTTGGTGTTATCTGTTGTTTCCTGATGTCAGTTTCTTGTTTTGGAGTACTGAGACAATTGTACTGGTGACAATGCAGTAGAAAGAGTTACATTGGCAGTGATTCAAACTCTAGTAAAGCTCCAGAAATATCAAAACTTCAGCATAGGATTTGTGATATTCAATTTGTGTGTGAATAATTTAGATTCATCCTTATAAAAGTAAACAAGCAAAGACTTGTATGTGAAAGATTTCAACAATGTGGATCTGCATAGGTATGTTACTCATGGTTGCTGATGACATGTGAGTTGGGATAGAAGGCTTCAAAGAAGTGAGAGTAACAGTGAGCTCACATGCCCTTGGCTTTTTGGTGTGACTTTTATTTTTTTAAGAAATGAAATTGTGATTCGGGAAGTTTTTTCCTGATTTTTCACACTGAATTTTCAGTTGAAATGCCATCTGTAGTGCCTAACAAATCTTACTTCACAAAGCTGGGGAAACTACAGTGGGGTTGGTCCTTGTATCGAGCACTAACATTTTCATTGCTTGGATTTTAGTGCTTTTCATGTATGGAGGCTAGTGATTCCCACTCAGCTGAAAACTAATAGCCCATTCTAATAATGTGTAGATGTTAAGTATTGTTAGATATTTGAGCTTGTCTTTTGTCTAGCTCCAACTAATGGCTTCTATATTTTGGGTGTGGAGGTGTGGAGGAGGCTTGAAAAAAAATGCTTTTCTGCTACTGTTTGTGGTTGTATTGTTTTTTCTTTGTTTGATGTTGAAACAAAATTTTTTGAGCGCTTAGAGATATAAAATTTGCTACAGATTCCCAGTGTTCTGGACACAATGAGGAAGCAGCATTTAATCTTTTGAGAGACATTCTTTCTACAGAAGGATATTTTGAATGTTCACATTTGTCATCAGAAAATGGTAAATTCTGGTGAGTGGATGCATTAGGAAATACAGTTGGAGATGCAGGTATTTTTTCTTAGTGCTTCAGCCGTGGAAAGCATAACAAATACTTGTTGCCATTTTACAGGTATATGGTAATCTGTACTTATGTTTCTGACCTGTTGATGGTCTTCAGCTTTGGCTGATGATTGAAAATAGTTGGCAATTAAAATGTGATAGTTAAACCCATATTTTGGCCTCCCCATCAGTGAGGACATAAGTAGTGGCAACTTTAGCAACTGTGATCAACATTTTGATGACCACTGCATTGGGATAGCTAAGGCCACTAACGCTTTTATGCTTACCTAAATGGGCAGGTTTTCAGTTTCAGTGCCATTAGCCAGAATAAAGGAAAGAGCTTTGGACCTTTTTTGAACTTGTAGGAAAGAACATGACCCATTGTTTTTGTAGGTTATGAAATGAGAAGGGGAGCTCTTCATTTTAGGTCACTGTATTTTGCAGATAAATTGTTAGTGGTAAAAATGGGATCAGAGCTCTGTTGGAATATAGAAGTATTAATATAATCTTTTTTCTCAAACTTTGAACATGAAGTTGGAAATAAATGCACTAGCAAATTCACTGTATCAAATCAAGTAACTCAATCCATACTGCATACCTGGGGGGTTGCATTCCACCCATTGTTTCATTTTTGGACCAAAATGAAACAATTCGTAAGATTTTATTTTTATTGCTAGGAGTTGAACTGTGGTCAGTTTTGAGTATAGAGATGTGTACTTATTTATTTTTCTAGATGCTCCTCTGACCACACACCACTGACTGTTGCCATAATCATTAAGAACTTTGTGAATGAAGATTTCAGTTACCACTCATACTAAAATCAAGACTGCAGAGATTGACTCCTTGCAATGCTCCGTGTATTCATGCATTCTGTAACCAGTATAAGAGTTCTGTATCCTTGTATACAGGCTTTACTGGAAGTAGTGAATGACCTCTTTGAAGAACAGACTGACTTAGAGAAGATTGTCAAGAAAATAATGCATCGAGCCCAGACTCTACTCAAGTGTGAACGGTGTTCAGTATTACTTCTGGAAGATATTGAATCCCCTGTAAGTATACCTGTACCTCTTCTTGAAGGGTTAATATATGAGTTGTGTAGCAGCTTTTTTTGTACTGTGGAGAAGCTGTTTCATATTGAATGTAAGCATTGGATAGCAAGAATTCTTTCAGCATATAATTATTCAATGCAAGTTGCATACAGGTACCTTTATCCAGTACTTGTTTGAAGGGAAACCGAAATGTATTTTTGATTCCTTCTGTTCATTAAAGGCATTTAATATGAGGCCTGTAACTTACTGAATCTATCAGTGTTGTGACCCAGCAGTTTAGCTGTCTTTTGCATTTGCATTTGTGATGGAATTAGTGCTTACTGCAGAGCAGCTAGGAAGCAAACGCTTCTTCGATTTGGTTGGTAAAAAATAGGGACCTGATTTGTTCTCAATTATTTATTTGCTTGGCTTCTTTCTTTCATGCCATAGCCACTCAGAGGAAGGAAAAATCCTGCCTGTAGCTGTGTTCACGTTTACCTGGAACTTAAGACCTTTTTGTTGTTTTCAGGCTAATACCTTATCAAACAGGTGGCACCTGCAAGCAGTTTTAGAACTGTACTTGTTCTTGTGGTAGAAGGAAGCATTTGCAGTGAGCAGGCGAAGTGAAAACATTACTTTCAACGTTACTGAAGTATTCTTGTTTTTTCCAATAGCTCTGTCAGTTTGATCAGGGAATAATTACTTCATTGCAGAGCTCTTAAGTTGAGCAGGTAGAGGTAAGCCATATGAAGCTATCTGTCCAAAGTTGGATTTCATTTTGGCATGAACCTTTGCCAGGATGCTTTAAATACTGCCATTCATAGGGTATGAAAGCCTCTTTTAGGAATGTAAACACTGTAATGATTGTTGTAATCAGGAGTAAAGTAAGTGGCTACCTTTAAATTAGTGTCTCCGTTCAGGGTTTTGAGCACAATCTTCCTTTGTTCCTACTGATGATTAAAGCACTAGTTGAAGCATTCTTTTCTATCCACGTTTCTTCAGATTCACTGACTCTGTAATTGATTTGCTGTGCATCAGTGGGAATCTAAATGATTATCAAAGAATCACAAGATTGTGTATATGGCAGAAAAACTATTTATTTCCCGGAGGAAAGCTATGATTCTCATTTCATTTAAACTAATAATAATGAAGTACTTTCCATGGAGTGTGCCCTAAGTTACACAAGCATTCATGAAAGCACGACAGAGCTTTGGATTTCATGTATGTTCTGCTATGTGATTTTAATGTTTCTAGTCTTTCTTACACTAACCTCCCCCCACATTTCTTTTTCAATTACATGATGTAGTTCTACTACATTTCTGTTTGCTAGTGTATCATTTTTATTTTTTGTAGAGCAGTAGTATGTTGTGTTTGTAGCAGACGGTGGACGGCATTTCATTTTTTTTCTGTTCTTAGTACTTCTTCTACCACTTAACATGGAGGTGGTTTTTTTTTCCAAACTACACACAGTCTACTCATTCATCTAGACCAAATCCTGAGATGCAGACAGCTGAGGTATTCAGATAAGCCAAAGAACAACAAACCCTTCTGTTTTTTTAAATAATCATAAAACTTAGGTTAATTTGCAATGGGAGAACAGCATCTTAATGCTCATTTATTTTTATATATTTATATATATATTATTAAAAATATATATGATTTATAATTTATATTTTTAATAAAGTGACAAAGCAATTATTTTCCCAATTTCCCTATTTCAAAGGGTTAACCTTTATAGCAAAATGGATCTCCATAGACTAACTTAATGCTAAGCCATGTCTAAAATATCATCCATATACAGCATGAAAAACATTTACAATTCAGAACTGAAATGGAAGGTGAATGTTCCTTAGCATCTAAAACCATTATCTATGTTCTGTGTTCCATCAGCTACTCTTAAAAGGCTTTGTTTGTGTACTGTTGACACAAAAGTTCAAGGAAAAGAGATTGTAATTACTGCAAAAGCATATTTCTGTTTATTCCCCCCCCCCAACCTCCCCCAAGGAGGGGGAAAAAAAAAAAAAATAGATTTAGGTAAAGCTCTGTAGTTCGTGTTCAAAAGAGCTCTGAAGGGAAGCATACTGTTCCAGAAATGATTTCTGTTCTTCATAATTCATTAAGCTGTCATTTGATTTGGTAATGTTTGTTTTATGAATGGTGTGTATTACATTTTTACATTAATTCTTCACCGAGGAAATACAGATTTAATTCTTTGTTGTAGGTTCATTGGAGAAATATATGGCTTAAATACAGTAACTTTACATTAGTGTTTACTTATGTACTTGTAATTTTAACAACAATTTTAAATTCCTTTTGCTTATGTGACAGGTAGTGAAATTTACAAAATCCTTTGAGCTGCTATCTCCAAAATGCAGTGCTGATACTGAAAACAGGTTGGTGCTCATGTCTTCTATGGTAACAGATTGCTTTATATTTTTCAGTTTAAAATTTGTTTGATCTTGGTTTTATTTTGTTACGAATCTTTAGATAGATTTACTTTAAGAGTGTCAGCCTACTGTTTTTACTCGAACAAGATTCCTTTTTGCTTCAAATGAAAAACTGAATGAAAAAATGAAAAACAACATTAACAATAAATGTTAATATTGCTATACACACTGATATAACATTATATCAATATCTCAAAAGAGAAGCCAGGAAACTAATGATGATTTTTGTTATTGAACTTGTGGAAAATACACAAATGTTGTTTTGCATGGTAAGTGCTGAAGTAAAAAATTACAATTTTTTTTAAATTGTTTGCTGATCTTTTACAAAATGCTTCCTTACAGTTGCATTGAAAGGTTTCCAGTAAGATTTGATTTCTGTTCTTGTGAAGCTGTAAAACCTAAAAACCTCACAGAACATGCATATGCTAAAAATTGCATTCCTGTGAGTAATTCTGGTGTGGGAGTCCAGTCAAAACAAATGTATGTTTTGCTTAATAGGATCTGTTTTTAAACATTGACAAAGGGCTAGCTGTAAGTAGTAAGATAACTATTTGTGGGATTATTGTACTAATGCTTACAAGATAGTATAACTGGTAACACAGAAGTTCACATAAAAGGTCCTAAATATCAAATAAATGGATGAAGTTTTAGAGATATTGTGAGAAGGCTTCTCCCGTCTTTTAAGACCCTAAATCAATGATTAACTCATATATATTGAATGCAAAATAAAATGATTCTAATTCTAGATTATAATTTTCCATGTGGAATTGTTGCCATAATGGTGTAAGCCTTCTCTCCATCTTGCAATACATAGCAGGCTTGAAGATGACTTTGTGCTTTGCCACACACATTTTTTTCAAACAGCTTTGAAATATACTTATGGATAATTTCCTGCCTTTAGTGCTTTTCTTATCTACTTCCAGTGTGGTAAGAAATTGCCACTTCATTAAGGTTAATGTGCATATTGTCCTCCAAATTATGACAGCTCCTAATTCTTAAGGTTTTTCGTAGGTGGTTGTCACAGAATTACTAAATTTACTAGCTGACAGCAGAGTCCAGGTCCACAGAAAGACAGATAGAAACTAGATCTCTTGTACTCTACCAACCACTGAAGAGATGGATTCTTGAGACAAAATAGGAAAGGGAAGCAAGTGATTAAAAAAAATAAAAAAATCACTTTACAGGTTAAACATGAATAAATAATCTGTTTCTCCATCTGGGACCTGTAATTTAGTCCCTTTCAGAAAGAGCATCAGGGTAGCACCTGCTCTTTCCTAGGTCAATTAAATGGGTGACCATACATTCCTTTTGTTAGGGGTCAGAGGAGTGAATCAAGAGATGTGGTTGTTATTCCTGTTTTTGTCATGCTTGATCGGTAGCCAGCTTAGTCAAGACAGTGTAGACTGGTGTGAAAATAACCAAGCTGCCTTGTTTCTTGTTACCATAGTTATGTTAGCATGTTACCAAAAAGCAATTTGTAGTAGCCTGCACTGCTTGTAGTCGATTGACTCAACTTTTAGTTAGAGAGATGAATAAACACATGCCAACTATTAGTAAGATTTATAAAGGTCTATTTCTGTGCATTTTAATGTAAAGACTGCTTTTCTTTCATTTTTCCATCCAGTGGGGGGAGAAACCGGTTTTACAAAGATTAAGTTGAGACTGGCAGATATGATGTTGCATTTGGATCTAGCACAGGCACAGCTTGAGTTGTTGGCACTATAGTGGGAAAATAAAGGTTATTTAGGATACAGAACAATGCCAGGAGCCCTTGGCATTTGAGCATTTCTTCTAGTGAGTTTTGCCCTTTTCATTTCACATTCCATGGACCTAACTAATGCAGTGTCGTGTAGGAAAATAAATGGCAAGATGAGTTTCTTCATCATGACCCCAATGGAGATAAATATTACTACTTTGAAAATTTAGTGGAAATATAAAGAGGTTATAACTGAAACCATTCTCAGCCTGTAAGTTTTAATTTGAAGGAGGGAGAAACTCCAAGGACAACATAGTGTTTTGGTTCTAACTTTTCCTCCTTTGGTTTTAGAATAAATTAGCTTATCTTTTGTCTTTTTCATCTCTGCATGGTGAAAGTTTACCAGCTTAGTCCTTGAACATTATAATGAATATTCACGTCTTTTTTTCTTTGCTGTTGGTTATGAAGAAATACCTTGTGAGACCACACTTGAATTTATCTGTTTGACAGATTCCAGCACATGCCAGGATCAAGTTCGGTTCTGATTCATAAGATACAGTCCTTTATGACAATCACTTTATTCTTGAAGTACAGGTTTTCAAGTTTTTCTCTCTTTGAAAGAAAGCTACCTGAATCTTTGAAGCCTTGAGTTCAGTTTGGATGTATTCTGGGCAGAGGTGAGCGGGGGGCAGATGCTGTGAGCCATGTCTTTCCTGCACAGAAGGCATCTTAGTGGATGATGTAGCTGAGATTCCTATTCAATAACTTGAATACCAGAGGCGGTGAGAAGGTGAACAACCTTGGCTTGTATGAGCTGCACAGAAAATATCTGTGCTCCTTCCCAGTTAGGCAGGCACAGAGAAAGTGCAGAAATCTGTGCTATTGCTGTTTCACTGCTGCCATCCCTAGGAGTGATGCTGACTCCTGCACCGCCTCATTCCCTGCAGTGTTTTTTTATGTTTTTTTTAAGCCATATTCCTGCTCTTCTAGTCCTAGGAGTTGGAAGGGTTTACGTTAATTTAGAGTGAATTAAAGGTAGCTGTGCTTCTGGCTGCCCCTGTCAGAGAATATCGCTTTCAGGAAGATCACAAGAACGCAATTGTGTGAGGGAAGCCTGCAGCACCACTCAGTGCTCTTAAAGCAGAGCATTCTTTCCTGTCTGGCACATGATGCTTCTGCCTGTGTGTAGGCAAAACAGGAGGCAGTGGCATGCAGCTGCCTGCATTAGTCCAGCAGTCCAGCTCACAGCTTTCCATGGTATATTGTTGCTTATGATTTTTAGAGGCAATTCTGATTGTTCTGAGCTGCTGAGAATAGAGAGGGAGCCAGCTGGCTGAGATTCACATCAGAATTTAACACTGGTAATTCCTCTGGTGAAAGTCAAGTGCATCTCTTCAGAGTGTGGTTGTAAAGCACTTGCAAAGATTGGGAATGATGCAGAACGTACTGCTAAAACTTCTTCCTGACTTGATATCATTTACAGTTTAAAATGCTGAACAGTTATACTCTAAACTCGATTTAAAGTGTCTTAGATTATAATGAAAGTATCCAGATTTTTAAGATATGAAGTGGGGATCTGTGCATTTGAAATTAGATTCTTATCCTGAAAGATCTTTTTCCTCCACTTCTCAAGTATATTGATGTCCTCAAATAAATCTTACATCATAAAGATATATTTTCTTACCTAGCTCAAAAGTAATTTCTTTCAGTGAAGGCTCCTGTCAAAGTGCATGTGCAACATTTATTACAGTCACTCAAAATTCTTATCCCAAATTAAAGCTGATACACTTGGATTTTTTTGTGTAAATCATTATTATTATCTTTATTTATAGCCTTTTAGGAATATTGAGTTTTCTTTCAAAGGAATGACTTTAGTTAAATTAGCTTTCAGAAAATTAATGTGGCCAACAAAAATCAATCCTTTCATTTTGATTGAGTCTTCTGAGCATTTTAGTGTGCATATGTCTTCATCTTATCCATTATTTTGAAGTTTCAAGCCATTGTGGTCTTCTCCACAGCTGTTCAATCACTTTCTCCTAGGTAATGTCTCAGGTGTTGACCAGTTTTATTCTCAAAGCTAAGATAGTATGTATACAGGTGTTCACACAAATAGCTTCTGCTTGCCAATCATAAAAACCTGTTTGCAATAAGTCAGTGAGCATTTTCCTGCTGAGTAGACAGGGGAATGGGTGAGGATTTTCAAGGTCTATGTAGACACTGAGCTTTCAGCACAAGCTGAGGTGATGCTGGTGTACTGAGCTCACAGTTCTTGTATCTTATGCTCTGTAGTCCTTTAGTAGTTGTGGCAGGTCAGTCAAGTAGGAAATATCCACGTATTATATACCTAGCAGGATCCACCTGCTGTAATACACAGTATTGATTTCAAGACTCATTTCACAATCCCTTCTACTGCCACTCTGATCTAGCACTGCAGATGAAAAAACATTCCACAAAAATCTGAAATTCTGTGCTTTCAGGTAGCTTTACAGAAAATTTTTAGTACTGGCTTCAGGCTTATCTTCCACAGAGATGTGAACATGATCCTGTTATTGATTCATGTGTCAGTGGATTTCATTATTAAATGTGTAAGTATTGTGGGAGATCAATGATATTTTCAATCAAAGGAGTTGCATAAAGAAGAATTTCTTTTATATCCTCTTTCAATAAACACCAAATTACTTCTCCAAAGATAATGCTTAGTAACCATTAGTAACTGTGAACAGTTCTGCAGTTTCTGTGAGAATGCCTGTAAAATGTGCTGGACTTTGAAGCAACGTTGAATGTATTCTTTCCTTCTCTTGCTATATCTTCTGATAGTTTCAAAGAAGGTGTGGAGAAATCACCATCTTACTCTGACTGGCTAATAAATAACAGCATTGCTGAACTTGTAGCTTCCACGGGTCTCCCGGTGAATATCAGTGATGCCTATCAGGATCCTCGCTTTGATGCTGAAGTAAGATTTTTAGAAATGTGAATGTAACGTTGTATTTTTGGCATTGAAACTAATACAATGCAGTTTTACAGTTACAAGGTAAAATTACAGTTACAGGTAAAATTGAGTGTATCAGTTTTGAATTATTTTCTTTCCAGTATGTCCTTGTTGAGGCCTGATGCTATTGATGTGACTTTGTATAGCTAACACGTCACTGAATTAGCGTATGACTACAGGCAGTTACTGGCCTCTTGGTGATTCTTTTTTAGTGAATATTTAAGCAATACCTTCCACTATCGAGTACTTTGAGATTTACACAAATTGATTTTCGTTGCTGAAAATTCTGCTGTTGATGTTAGCAATGCCATTGCTAGCTGTCAGAATGACTCAGATTGTGCACATGGAGTGTAAACAACCAACATCTAAAGAGACAAATGTTGTCTGTGGTCTTACTTGGCCAACTACCCTCTTAATCTGGTATTTTGCACAAAACAACTGTACGTGTTGGACTAGTTATTTCTCCGAGATGAATAATGCTCCTAGTAGATGTTTTGTATGAATCCTAAGGTATTAGTTCCAGTCACAGCTAGAAAGATAAAAATGCGTGTACATATATATATATACGTATAGAACCTGAATAAATGTTAAAGGCATAGGGAAAGATGAAGTCTTCACTGCATTCTGTCCAGTGGAACCTTATTGCTATGGGAGACGTGGCCAGCAGTTTGGCTGCACGTGAATCAGTGGATAGTCTCGGTCAGCAAGCTTACCAAATCATAACACTACAGTAAATGTGCTTAGAAGTATTTCATGCAAGAGTTTCCTTGGCTTCAGTTTCATTACGCATGTCACTATGGATAGTAGTGCCCACATCAGAAGACTTTGTCAAAAAAGAAGAAAACTAAAAGGAGCCAGCTGTAAAAATGGTCAAAAAAACCCTGTGTTAATGCTAATTTATTCAGAATTTCTAGAAATACAATTAATGCCTGGGGTCTATTCCTTGCCAAAGAGATGTGCTGAAATAAAGCATGCCAATCCTTGCTATGTTTGCAGTTGTACTTCCAGTATGTTATGTCCTGAATAATTCATTTGTCTTGTATTTGGTTTACAGTTAGTCCATTTGAAGTGCTGCTCAATTTATATATAGAAAAAAAATCTTTTGATATAAAGGGCAGCTATTATTTTTCTGTTGGTGGGTTCATGTGAAAATTTTATTCTTAAATTTAACTGTTGCAATGGATTATTTCTCTGGATAGTCAAGTATAGTAAAAGAGGAGCATAATGGAAGCTCTCATTTCTACATTGTAGGCTGACCAGATTTCTGGATTTCACATAAGGTCTGTTCTCTGTGTTCCTATATGGAATAGCAACCACCAAATAATTGGTAAGAACTTCCTCATAGCCACACCATTTTTGTGCTAATGTAAATTGAATTCTGTCTTTTTAATTCTGTGTTCCTTTTCTTCTTTTTCCCAGCTGAATATTGTTAAGAAGTTACGGTACCTAGGATGCATGCTAAGTATCCAAGAAGGGATGTTTTGACTTGGATACTGTATGGACTTTTTCAGCTTTCCCATTGTGTTATTGTTAAGTTATACATGGTATTGAAATATGAAAACAAACACGATGAAAACTGAAATGCTAACACTATTAGTGAAAAAAGTTTGTTGTGCTTTGATACTTTTTTTTTTGTGGGTCTGACCTTTTGCGTATAACTCATGCAACTGTTTCTGCAGCCCTGCCAGACAGTTTCCCTCTTTAACGATGAAACGCACAGCTAGGGATGACTTACCAGAGAGACTGAGGCAGCTGTCAGGGTTGCCTGAGGCAGCAGTGTGTGCTGGATTAGGATGTGACAGGGTTTTATAGTCTGTTTGATAGGATGCTTCCCAACAATGATACACCTGCATTCTTACTGGCTTTTGGCTGAAAAAAGAAATAATATTTATAAATTAGTACCGGTTTCCTCCTCAGCTTTCCCCAGAAGATTTCAAGTCAAAGCTGAATCAGTTTAGACTTGTAATATTTGCATCCCTGTATGCTGTGGCAGTTGGTGAGAGCTGGAATCAGGATTGCTTTGAAGGTACTCAGTGCCATGCAGAATCTTTGAGCCTAATCATTAGAGATGTTGTGGGAAGTGAACCTCTTATATATACGGCTCATTCTTTGTTGTGAATTGCATATTACCTGAGAAAAGTAGAAGAGAAACTCAATGCTCAGAAGCTGATAGTTCGTATTGTTTGTCTAAGGGTAAGCTTAGCTAAATGAAGTAGGAATGGTTTGTTGCAGTAGAACTCTGTTCAGCTAGAGCCAAGACTTGGAGTGCTTCCAGGTGGTTTAAGGAAACTGTTTTTTTCATTGTTCAATACATCTGTGAACCAGTCATGAGAAGGACAAAAAAAAAAAGGGTCTTACATGCCCAGATGTTGTTAAATTAGCTGATACTTAGGAATGAAGGTCAATGTTGGTCAATTATGTAACTTCAAATTGTTAGGACAACTAACTTTATTCTGTTTGTGAAATCCTTTCTGAAAGGGATGTTGAACCTTTTCTGAAAAGCACTGGGAGTCATTTTGCTCCCCAGTGTTATACTTACAGAACAAAGACTAACAGCTGAAAGAACTAAGCAGTCGTGGTATCAAAACAGACAGACCTCCACATATTGATGTCTGCTTATTGTTTTTCTTGATAAATATTTGCAATTTTGCTTTCCAGTTTTACAAATATATTTAAATTTTACTATTGAATAAAGTGTTCTGCATTATTAATTTCGTGAATAAATATTATAATTTATATTAACTCTTTCTAAAGGGGTAGCTCAAGTGTTGAACAGACTCGATGGGAAGCCCTTTGATGATGCTGACCAGCGACTGTTTGAGGTAAGAGACTTCAATCTCGTAGCAGAAACACGCTTTTTCAGCAGGATTTGATATTTCTGGGTAATGCTCGTTCAGCCTACTTAAGGGAGGTGGGAAGGATATGTTATCTACTCAGTAAGGCTGTATCCTGTCTGAAATTGCTCTTGCATCTGATCATTCTCATCTAATTAAGGCCAGTGACTTACATTCATTCTCAAGGTAACTTATATAAACATTCCTAACACTTTTAGTGATTTCTTTTCAGTTGCTAACCCAGCATTCATCTTTATATTTATATTACAACAAAATGATCATTGATTTTCTTTTCTCTCTTCTTCCTCCCACCTTTCTCTCATTTTAGGCCTTTGTTATTTTCTGTGGTCTGGGCATCAACAACACAATTATGTACGACCAAGTGAAGAAATCCTGGGCAAAACAGTCTGTGGCTCTTGATGTATGTGTACTTCTTAATGAAACTTCTTTGTGATTCATAAGTTACAAGTACAGAAAGCTACTGCTCCTGAATTTATTGTACTTAGCATCATTTTTTAATCTACTTTTCTGCACTGTTTTGCAGAAGTCCTGAAGGGAAACTTCAGAATACACTTAGCTGTGGAGCTCATGCACAGCTTTACATAATTTAGAAATCCCATCTGATGTCCCTGATTGTTCTTTAGTTGTTATGTTTTTTGGGGGGGGGTTGTGATTTGTTGTTTGTTTTTGCTTTAAGAGGGGACAGTGATGCCAAGCTAGTTCATTGCAGATACAGGTGCTGGAATGAGTCTTTGTCTTTCCCATCATTAACTGACATTTATTAAAACGTGCTGTTTTTACATAGCCTGTTGTCTTTCTTTTCTAGTGTTGTGAATGAGAGGTAGTGTGAACAGGAAAAAAGTGATCAGTAGAAACTCTGCTATTGTGTATCAGAGCAAACGCACAATGGTCTTCCAGCACAATGCCTGTCTACACAACATTCAGAGCAGTTAAATGGATAAAAAACTGATGTCTGTCTTCCTCCACTAACTTTGAAAGAATTTCTTTTCCTGTGTTTTTCCCCCATTCATGAAGAGCAAAACTTATCTGCTCCAGTAAAACAGACTCTAGAATGCAGAACTTTCAAAAAACAATAGCTTCTATAAGCGGATTCAACAATGAAGTTCTATATTATATTCTAGAAATTCTAAACATAAGATAGTGGGGGAAAAAATCACAAGGATAAAGCTTTGAACTTTGAGAACAGCTTTAGAGATTTACATTATTCCTATCTGAATCAATAACTGAGCAAAGTTTGAAGGAAATTTAATTTCTTTTTGAAGCATTATGCTAGACTCATAATTTTTATAAGATTCCTTCATTGAAAAGAGTAGATTTGTATGATTTTAGTATTATAATAAATTTCAAATCTTGTACCAATAAAATTATCTAGACATCCCTGATGTGAGCATGCCTGTAACTGTGGAGCTCCTTCAAATTTCTGCTGTGCTCACCGTTGTGATAAGAACCAAAACACCAGCTTTATTGTGAATGACAGGATTTTTTCTAACTTAAAACAAAAATCAAACCAAACTGGATAGCTAAGAAGATAGCATTTTTTTTTCTCCTTTCCTGAAGATATTGAAGTTATTTGTCTTATGTATCAGGAATCAACCCTATAAAGCATGTAAACACGTTAAGTCTTTTAGAAAACATTCTAAGCATTAGTAGCATTTTGATTATTCTTATTTATGTGTCCCTTTTGGAGGGAAAGTGGAAACCTTTGCTGTTCTGGCCTGCTGCAAAGATTCCTTCTTTACATGTCACAGTCATTAATTACTACAAATTCTCACAACTGCAGTAATTTGTGCAATATAACAACTTAGATTGAATACTCTTCCTAGCAAGAAAAAAGCAGTTGCAGGCATCGCACTTAAATATATAGATATAAAACACAGAAATTTATTTACTACTGAAATTTTGAATTTCTTGCTTTATAATACAACTTCTTTCTCAGATCTAAAAAGGACCCATAGTCGTATAACTTGAATATACATAATAGATTTGATAAATGGCCACTATGCCTCATGACAGAGTAATTCCTTCTGTAAATGAATGACAACTCATAAGATATAGCAGAAAAATACTGTACAAAAGAAAAGTATATGTTGAAGGACTGTGAATTAATTTCTCAGTAAGAGAATACTTTATTAATATGTATGCATTTAGCTAGGGTGACGATGAGTGATATTTCATGATGACATTGTTATCATATACAATCAATGTGATTTATATTATTTAAATATTCTTACCCAAGCGCAGAGATACAATTCTTGTAAGACTAACTAATAAATAGAAAACCAAGAAGTAAATAAATGCTGGGGAAAGATTGACTTTAAGGATTCAAAAATTGTGTATGAATGAAAAAAAAAGAATAATAAATATTAGAGAGGACAGTAAAAATCTACAGGGATATGAATGCAGGTAAAGGAGAAGCTTTTTTGTATTAAGTGTGATCTGTCATAAGCAGAAGACTTGTTTTTCCTAATTTTATAGATTTCCGAGAGAAACTGCACTAGGGCAGGACATAGATACTTTCTGAGGAAGGATAGGTTATAGTTATGGAAAGTAAAACATGGGACAGAACAAGTACATTGGCATTTGTAATTTAATCTTTCGTAGTACAGGGATTTGCTGTCACTGTAGAAGTCAACGCCTTTAAAACTAACATGAGTAAATACTTTTTGGGTTTATTGTCACAAGGTATTGCAAGCCAAGGGCATTTGTAAGAGTGTTTGGTTATTTGTATGAGTAGCAGGAACATTCGTATATGAAAGCAATTTTAAAATTAGGAGTCTATACAATAGCTTAAGTACATGAGCAGACTAGTTGTTGCTGTGGGGTGAGGAGGTTCTTGGTAGAAGTACTCTGGCTTTCCAGGCTCTCCTGTGGACTATTGCTTCCTACCATGCAGCACAGGATGGCTTTTGTGCCCTGTGGAGTTGATTGTTCAGTGCTAGTATCTTCATATAAGTATATAACGTATGCCATGTATGCATACTTTTAGGTTGTTACACTAGATACACAGTACTTTATGCATTATATTTGATGCTTTCTTCTACACAACAGAAATGAAAAGAATGTCAGGAGTAAGAGTAATGTCATAGAGGTGCTAATTTGCATGCAATGATGTGCCATTAGCAGAGGCATTAAAGCTCTACTATGTAGCAAAAGGCATTATTTAATATCTATAAATCTACAGTTATTTTTACATTAAATTCTTTCTGTTTTAATTGCAGAACTGCAGGATAACAATGTAGGAGCACTTATAAAAGTACTTACTATCCATGCTTCATTACAAAATTACCTAAAATATAAATGTCACATGATAACCTGCAATTAATAATTGTATGTTGATATTCAGAACTGAATTATCAGGCATACGTATTAATTAAATTTGTTTTTAAAGTCATTGACTAGACTGCAGGAAAGAGCCCTATTATTTCTTGTTGATTCTACAAAAGTGTTTTTTTATCTTTTTTTCTGAGGCAGGTTTTATCTTATCATGCAACATGTTCAAAGGCAGAAGTTGATAAATTTAAGGTAAGGATTTAAACTTTCAATTATTTCTGAAAATATAACGGTGAATTAAAATGCATGCAGATTAAAGTTTTATTTTATATAAAAAGTAGAAATAATAATCAGCAGGATGTATTATGTGTTAGGCTGCCAGACAGAGAAAGTGGAAAATAAAATCTTAAACGTGATGAAGAGATGCAGTGATAGGTGCACAGAAGCAAAATATCATGGTGCCATCCCTGGCTGCTGGAACTACACATCAGTATGGGTTTGGTGGCCTCGTTAGCAAGAACACCCACGGGGAAGTCATACCACAGTGACAGCTAAGGAAGAAGCTAGAGAAAATGGGGAAAACATCAGGCTTTGCTTGTAGCGTGGAAGCTTTTTTGTGTTTACTAATGAAGTAGAGGATTCACAACCAAGATAGTGAATAGTCTCAGAGGGATGGATATAAAGGTAAGAAATCCTCTTCCAACTTCTTGAAATGCCCTGGGCAAAAGTGTAAAGCAGTGCATGCTGAAATTAGCATTGCTAGGAATCAATAATTATGCATTCATGCCAAATTCTGCCTTGCAAAGGAGTAAAGGGTAGGGGAAATTGTGGCCTTGCTCTTTCAATGCTGCCGGCACTCCAGAGCTGTTTTTGTGATGTGCTTTGCCCTTTTCTGCTCAAGATAACCTAAGGAAACTTGGTGGCCTTTCTTTGTCTGCAGCAGGTCTAGGTCTATGATGTAGAGAGTTTACCAGTGCTCTCTGAGAAACTCCTGTGGTGGATATCAGCATTAGTCTCCTGTACACAGTGTACATCTGGAGGCTGTGGCAAGGTCTGGGCTGTTGCAAAAGATGATCACACCTCATGGTGTGACTTCCTGGTGTCTGTCTGACCAGTGCTTCATGGCTGCTTTACAACTTGTCTTGCTAGCCACAGCTTCTCTGTCCTGTGGAGGCAGCCATGATGAAAGCTGTGAGTGACTTAGCAGAACAGGTACTAGTGAGTTACCTGGGCTGTGAAAAGCAGCACTTGATAGTTCATTAATCGTCTTTTACAGCCCAAATGAAAGCTACGTCTTAATACTGCAACAGTAGCTGGTGACAAGGTAAAATGATCTTTATATAATATCGTACATTTTAGTGCAGTTGCCCACACCTTTCTTAGATGAAATTTAGATTACTGGAAGCAAGTCACTTGGAGATCACTACTGCCATCAGAAAGTATTTCAGTGTGCTTAGTAAGTTGTACTTGGACTTACAGAGCACCAAGCACTGCGCAAGAAACAAGTGAGAGAAAAAGATGAAGGACCATGAATGTTTCATTGTATTTTTGGTATTTAATTTACCTTAGAATAACAACATGTAATATAGCTTTTGCCAAGATTCAGCAAATAGCTTGCTGAATTCCAGAGACTCTTCTTGATTGTCAGCAGTTCTCCATTATGATATATGTAGCTGAAATAAAGGCTCACTGTTAATTATTTTTTTTTCTAACTTAGATGTTAGTGTGAGGAGGTGTCCTCATTAATAGATTTGCTAGTTTCCAAATAAGGAATATGTTGTCATTATCTATTTACCTTGAAGACATAAAACTATTCATTTAACTGCAAATGGTAAGATAAAAGAAGTGAAAAGTGTTTATTAGAAAGCACAATAGCTATATTTTTGAATAAATGATAGAGATAAGAAGATAAGGACCATACTAGAGTAATGCTTGAAGTAAGATGACTTTTTTTTCAGAAGAATATTTCTCTCCTATATCTATTTGTCTTGCTTTCTATTCCCCCAAAATATGAGTGCTGGGTAGCATTTGTAATGTCTTGCACCAATGATCTTAGAGTGAGAGAGAGATGACCAGCTTGCCTTATGGGTTCTCAACAAAGAGCTTATCCCCAGAGAGAGCCATCCATCTATGGGATAAAATTGCTCCTGTCTTCCCTCTTGCAGAGTTCTGGCAGCTGATCTTCCTGCCAAGGTCTCCTGGGGCATCCTACCTACCTAGAAATCTGTTCTTTATCATTGTTTGTGATATTGTTATATTTTGTGTAAGCCCTTTGTTATTTGAGGGTCATCCTGCAGACTTTACTAGCTAGTAAACAATTCCTCCCTTTGGAAATGTTTGGGGCTTAAGTGTCTCTGTTCCTTTCACTGATTTATTGGCACATGTCAGTGAAAATGTCTGTTATGATTTACCTGATGTTCCTGTTCAATCAGAACAGGAGCAACACCCTTGATAGAAACATCTAAATGAGAATAATGCCTGTAGATCACTTCTGGCTTTTCAGAAGCACCTTTCTTTCAGCAGTTTGAATGGGAAAATATGTGGAATACCATTGGTTGTGGAGCTGGACAATACAGGGAGAAGTTTGGGATGATGAAAAATGAGGGTAAGATAACTGACCATGAAATGCAATTGCATTGCTTCATATCAGGTGTCAACAGCTGTCTGAAAGCAAAAGTGGCAGAATCAATTCATACCAAACTGTTTTTGCACATTTTTGAAGGGATTCCAATTGTGATGTTACTGAAGTGTAGGTTTAATTGTAAAAATCTGAAAGCAGAGTTCAAAAATGCTTGTATGAGTAGAAAATGTTCCATTAGTGAATGGAGGTATTTTTCTCAGAAGAATACTTAATTATGTGAATCATTATTCTAAAAATTCATGTCATCAGTCCTTTTCAGTATTTGCATTAAAGCTTTTGGGATTTGTTAGCACTGACGCTAGCAGGCACGCGATACTCAGGAGGCACAGAGCGGATGTGCAGCTCGGAGGCAGTGTGGTGCAGCTCTGCTGACCTCGAGGGGACGCCTGCGGGTTCTGCTGCCAGTGCGTAGGGTGAGTGGGATGGAAGGAGCACACTCATCATCTGGTGAGCTCCTTTCAGCGATGAGAGGGGGTCTTAGCCCTCAAGACAAATGCAAACACTGCTTCCTAGATCTAGGTTCAGAGTCTGAGCAAGCCTTTAGTTTCTGTAGGTGATGGTCTGACCCTAGGGAAGTTTGCCATTGATTTCAGCAGACTGAAAGATATTGCTGCTTTCAGCTAAGTTTGGCATCTGTAAAGCTGCATAGTGGTCTTCCCACTCTCTATCCATTTATTCATGATAGTCAGTCTTTTGCCCTGTGTTTTCTGATAGAGCAAGGTCTCTGGCAAAAAAAAGTTAAAAGTTAAGCTTCAGTCCTTTTTTTCATGCCCACTTAAAATGAATTTTAAATAGAACTTTGAGTAGATATGCAAGATAAAATCGGTGTGTTTTCCTGAAAATAGTTAAGTTTTTAAAATGACAAAAAACCAAGAAAAACTTAATGGATAGAGTTTCAAAAAAAAACCTATTGAATCAGAATTAATTATTAATCAGAATTAGTTGCAGCATGCCTACCATTAGACCTGTATGTGGGATATACACTGTACTACCAGGTTATATGAAAGAGGATGTGCATTTTGAGGTGTACGAATTAAAAGAAGTCAAAATGTATGTAGGCTGCTGTGGGAGTAATGCCTCCTATTTATCTCCACAGAAACTACAACAGATACGAAGTGCACAAGAGCACTATTTGATAGAGCAAATTCTTAGATGCAAATCACTATTTTTCAACATAGTCACCACCATTAGCTTTGTGTTTTCACCAGAGATGAACAAGAAGCTGCATGCTGTGCTTTGAAAAATCTGCACCAGCAGAGGTGACCCCACTTGCTACCACTGAAATGCACCACCCACCCCTCTCTGTACTCACATCCACTGTTTGGTCTCCATAAATGTTCAGCAAGTACTGATGAAGGTCAGTGGGTGCCATTTGTTCTGCAGGGAGGAGTTCAATGACACACCTTTACTGAATCCATATTTCCATATCAGACACCATTTTGTCAGACTGTCCTTCTGCTGCCATCTGTTCCAAGGTAACAAAACAATAATAATAATTAATAGGAAGGTTCAACCTCTACTGCCATACCCCCACACCTGCCTCTGATGTTGGAGGCCAACAAAATAAAATAGGAGGCAGTACTTTTGGGCACACTGCACATCTGAGAAGAATGAAGTCTTAAGCCTGATTTGTATCTATACGTCTCATCAGTGCTATCAGCATAACAGCACTAAATTCAAAATGAGTTTTGGTGGGATAAATTCAAGTAAAACACCAGTGAATCATAACTATATCAACATTACTTTTTATTCTTTCAGAAGTTAGATATATGTATAATTTTAAAATCTGTGGCAACTGAAGATCTTCTTATATTTTAAACTTGAAAAAAGATGTTATTTTCATTATGTTCTAGTGTTAGTGTTTAAATAAAAGCACTGGTAATATTGGAATAAAAAATCTAAGATTAATGAGGTCTGATTAATCTAAGATTGATGATATCCTATAGCAGTGTTCTTCAGTGCCAGGTTTCTTCTCATTGAAATGCAGGCTCTCTGAGCCTAAAAATAGTCACCTTTTAGGCAAATATAGAAAGCCAAGATACGTGAGTAACAAATGCAGAGTTGTGTCCAGGGCAGGATATTTATAGCAGGAGTTACTGCCTCCTGAGACAGAAATGAACAAGTCCTGTGACTTAGACAGCAAGCTGTCTCACAGACACAAATCACTTTTAAATTTAATATAGTTTCCAAAGAGAATATGTAAACACTGTCCTATTATGGGTAATATACAAGAAGCTATTTTTAAAAAGCTAACCTAATTATGCAGCTGTGAATGGTATAAGCCAAATCAATATTTAATGACTATGATGCATTATTTATAGCCCTGTGAGAGATTCCCTTTTTTAGGTCAAACAGCACATGGGAGATCTGCACAACAGAAAATAATGTATCACCTGCTTTATAGAGGCTTCAATTCAAAATGCAGCATTAATAACAATCCCTGTGTTTCTCAACTCCGTAGCCTGAGGTGTAGCTAGCTAAGACTTACCTTCACAAAGGGAGGTTTTTGTGTGTGTCTCAAAAAACAGGTATTAATAGAGTAAAAAATGAAGAGAGTTGAACCGAAATGGGAAACAACTTTTAGGACTGCTGTTTTTTATGATATTGTAAA